GCTTTTTCCGTTAGATGACCAAAGCAGACACCCAACCACTACCTACGACTGCCAAGACGACACTGGGAGCATGCTGCATGAGGATTGAGGAAGGTGAATGGCCCAATGGAGCTGTCTCTTATACACATCTAGATGTGTATAAGAGACAGCAGCTAGACGTGTTCCTGAGCACAATCCCAGATCGACCTCCCCTGCAACACTACCAGCGGCGAGAAGCAAGCAACAGCATCGTGCATCAAGTGGCCCAAATGAGGGCAGATGAACGATAATCAGAGGCGGCGATCCATCGTGGCCTGGGACTGCTGTGTCCCAAACAAATACTAAGGATACTAAGGATACAACAGCAGCTCAGTACCATCACCAGTCATCACCAACACATACATCACCCATGCTGCTATTATTTTACGACCTCCTGCTTCTGCGCCTCCAGCAGCAGCAGCAGCGAGCGGAGGTCCTTCACCCCCACCAGGGTTGTCAGCTCCAAGGAGACCCGGGGCTCCGGCTGCCCCAGGGTCATGGGGCCGGCTGGAGGAGGAATTTGGGGGAGACGGCGTGGGGAAGTTGGGTGCACAGGTGGTGATGGTGGAGGCGAGGAGGGTGAAAAGATGGTTGAGGACCTGGCGACGCTGGGGGGCGGTGTCCCGGCGGTGGGGGAGGATGGCCCACAGCGCACGACACGCGCCCACCTGGGGGAGGGAGAAGTGGGTATGACGGGGGATTGTGATTGTGATTTTACAGAAGGGGGAACATATAATTGTAAAATAGGGAAATATATAATTGTGAAACAGGGGGATTATTATTAGCGCATTTTCTCATTTATGGAAAAAATGCACTATTGTGCTCGCCATGTCCGTCTATCTGTCCATCCGTCAGTCCGTCTGTCTGTCCGTCCGTGACCACGTTTTCGTCGACGAGAAAATGCGCTCTCTGTCACTCACGGCAGTTAGTACTGAGTTATATTTTTATTTATATAAGGGAATACATGGAATTGCAAGTTTATATGGATTGTGGTAGTTCATATTGCGGGTTTGAGGAAAATTGTCGGATGCGAACATGCAAACTGCTTTCATTAATGTTAATAATGACATTCTTATTGAAATAGGCAATAAAAATTACTTAACTTTGAACTTTAGTAGAACAACAACATCTAATGATTTACTGAAATGTATTACATATCAAAATGCAAGATGATCTTTTCAAGAAAAAGATAATGACCTCACAGGGCGTTCGCTCTTCTGTCTTGTACGTTAATGAACATGGAATTCTCACTAAAGAAAGCCTTTACAATTCGCTAAAAAAATATTTAGGTTAGCAAATAATCATTATCTCATGATAATAAGTTAGGCGGTCAAGCTCCCAACGGGTGGCAAACCCCCCAACAAACCCGGAGTGAGAGCGGGTGGGCATCAGAGGCGCCCTGCAGGAGGCGCAGTAGGAGGGCCAGCCACTGGGGCGTGGCGCAGTGGCGAGCCAAGTGAGGGGAACCGCCACACAGGGCTCGAACCAGCGACACACTGCACCACTTCTTGTACTGCCACACCAGCAGCCCACTGCGCACACCTCTGCTGACAACCAATAGCAGTTATGCAAGACGAGGTATACCTATACACAGTTGTGCAAGACCAGAAATACCTATACCTATATAAAGTTATGCAAGACGAGATATACCTATACCTATATACAGTTATGCAAGACGAGGTATACCTATACCTATATACAGTTATGCAAGACGAGGTATAACTCAGCTGTCACTTGGGGCAGTCACTGCTAGTGGCTGCCTTTTATAGAGCCAGCCAGTCACTAATAGTGCCTGGCTGCCACTATTAGTGATATAGCAATGCAACAGGGCAGTTAACTGTCATTTTTTAGTGGGAAGACGACAGGGCAGTAAACTGTACGGCAGACGACATTACAGTATGGCAGACGACATTACAGTACGGCAGACGACATTGCAGTACGGCAGACGACACGGCAGTAAACTGTAATGAGATCAAGAGGTCACATTACACTGTTAACGGAAACATTAACCGTTTATTGGAATCTGGTAACGGCCTGTCACAGTTCAGATCACGAAGCAATAAAGACCTAGCGGTGAGGCCTACAGAGGCAGCGTGTTGGCCTAAATGGGCCTAGCGGTGAGGCCTACAGAGGCAGCCTGTAGGCCTAAAATGCCTAGCGGTGAGGCCTACAGAGGCAGCCTGTAGGCCTAAAAGGCCTAGCGGTGAGGCCTAAATGGGCAGCGGTGAGGCCTACAGAGGCAGCGTGTTGGCCTAAATGGGCAGCGGTGAGGCCTTAAAATGGCAGCGGTGAGGCCTTAAAAGGCCAGCGGTGAGGCCTAAATGGGCAGCGGTGAGGCCTTAAAAGGGCAGCGGTGAGGCCTTAAAAGGGCAGCGGTGAGGCCTAAATGGGCAGCGGTGAGGCCTATAGCAGCACCTGTCTGGGCCGAGGTCAAGGGCGGCACTGGCAGTGTGGAGGCGCCCTGACGCAGGACTTCCCCCAGACGAGGCCCCGCTGGGGGAGTTGCAGGGGGGAAAAGCACCCGCCTGAAAAAAAAATTATTAATAAATTTTGCACACTCTGGATTAAAGTCTCATTAAAAAAATGGAGGCGAAAAATATGCAAATTGGCTCGAGAGTAGACAAGTGATGCTGATATATGAACACGATGGATTCGTAATTCATCATGCAAAGCCGCGTTGAATTTAATTTCAATTATCTTATTGATTAACAAAACCAAGACGAGATTCATCAACATATTCAGCAAAATTAAAACCTAGATTAGTTGACACGATGGTAGATGAGAAGTAGGTTTGTCACGCTGGTGTTAACATCATGATTTGAAAACTTAGTTTAAAATGTTGCCTGTATTAGTGTGCGATAGAAGCAAGACGCGTACATCAGTTCGCTTGCTATCGAAAGTAGAGTGAAAAGGATGAGGGCGGAGAGGGTAAGTGGACGGAGAAGGGAAGTGGACAGAGAAAATAAGTGGTCGAAGAGGTAAACATTACCTGTAGAATGGAGAGGGTAAGTGGACGGAGAGGGTAAACATTACCTGTAGAATGGAGAGGAGATGAGAGGGTAAACATGGAGAGGTTAAAGATTACCTGTAGAATGGAGAGGAAGAGGGCAGAGAGGGTGCGGAGGGCGGGAGGGGCGGTGTGCTGGTGGTGGAGGGCGGCACTGAGGCTGAGGGAGAGCAGCAGCGCCGTGCACGCCTCCTGCAGGACGGCGTTAGTTTGCATATCGTTAGAATTTCTCGGGGCATTGCGCTGGGCAAATATGGGGAGCAGTTCTGCGGCGGAGTGAGGGGAGTGAGGGGGTGAGGGTATGAGGGAATATTAAATGAGTCGGTAGATCGAAGACCGAATTATTGTAAAACGCTAATTATGCAAATTATACTTACCGCGCTAATTATGATGGTAATTATGCAATTACCATCATGAGGAGCAAAACAAAGGTCGCCAATTTCAGAAACCACAAAAAAAAAGATTTTCTTGAACAGAAAATTTTTTTCAGTTCAAATACGTTTCAAATAATAAATACGTTTATTACATGTACACCTCCGTGCATTGGCGTATATGTTCGTGTATAATACACCTCCGTGTTTTGGCGTGTATAGATACACCTCCGTGTATTAGCGTGTATAGATACACCTCCGTGTATGTGCGTGTATAATACACCTCCGTGTATTGGCGTGTATAGATACACCTCCGTGTATTGGCGTGTATAGATACACCTCCGTGTATTTGCGTGTATAGATACACCTCTGTGTATTGGCATGTATGCGCGTGTATACTCACCGTGTTCATCATCAAGGTCGTCCTCGTCGTCTTTCTTCCCCTCGGCGGGGGGAGGCTCGGCGAGCTGCAGATCATACTTGCCTTCCTTCCCCATCCTGTGGGGAACATAACAACATGAACGTTATGTCGGCACACACGTTATGTCGGCATACACGTTATGTCTAATAACCTTGACACCTGTAGGAATTGGCGCTCCCATTACCCTAATGTACCCTGATCCAGCAGTACCTACCTATAGTCCAGGTACCTGTAGGAGTTGGTGGCACCGTTGTCCCAGTGTACCCTGATCCAGCAGTACCTACCTATAGTCCAGGTACCTGTAGGAGTTGGTGGTACCGTTGTCCCAGTGTACCCTNGAGTTCCTACCTTCATGAGGGCAGCGAGCTGAGGCCCTGTGAGGACAAGAGGGTTCCTACCTTCATGAGGGCAGCGAGCTGAGGCCCTGTGAGGACAAGAGAGTTCCTACCTTCATGAGGGCAGCGAGCTGAGGCCCTGTGAGGACAAGAGGGTTCCTACCTTCATGAGGGCAGCGAGCTGAGGCCCTGTGAGGACAAGAGAGTTCCTACCTTCATGAGGGCAGCGAGCTGAGGCCCTGTGAGGACAAGAGGGTTCCTACCTTCATGAGGGCAGCGAGCTGAGGCCCTGTGAGGACAAGAGAGTTCCTACCTTCATGAGGGCAGCGAGCTGAGGCCCTGTGAGGACAAGAGGGTTCCTACCTTCATGAGGGCAGCGAGCTGAGGCCCTGTGAGGACAAGAGAGTTCCTACCTTCATGAGGGCAGCGAGCTGAGGCCCTGTGAGGACAAGAGAGTTCCTACCCTCATGAGGGCAGCGAGCTGAGGCCCTGTGAGGACAAGAGAGTTCCTACCTTCATGAGGGCAGCGAGCTGAGGGCCTGTGAGGACAAGAGGGTTCCTACCTTCATGAGGGCAGCGAGCTGAGGCCCTGTGAGGACAAGACAGTTCCTACCTTCATGAGGGCAGCGAGCTGAGGGCCTGTGAGGACAAGAGAGTTCCTACCTTCATGAGGGCAGCGAGCTGAGGCCCTGTGAGGGGAAGTGAGGGCTGAGGTGGGGAGGGCTTGGCAGCCTCCTCATAGAGGGTCACCACCTCGTGCCTGGGGACTCCACTCCCCGGCCCCTCCCCAGGAGGCAGGATGCGGGAATTGTCACCCTGACCTTGGGGGTAGAAATATATAATAAATATAAATAACAAACCGTGAAAAATCAAAATTATTAAACAAAGAAAATCATCTTAAATGGGTCAAAATATATCTAGTAACTGAGTATTAATTAATTGAATACAAACGTCATAGCCCTTTAAATAATATCTACTAATTAACTAATAACTCCGAAATTGAAATAATAGTTAAGAAAGTATGTCGCAATTTTGACAATATCACCCATTCATTTTTCTTAATGCACAAGCATTCACAGCAATACGGGCGTCAGGATAAAAAACATAGCAACATACATGTTTCCAAGTTTTGTCGCGTTCAGCAATATAATTTAAATTTAAATGAATAGCCTTAAATTTCTATAGGAATAATAGTAGTATATTATAATAGATATTTATGAATATATAGGTAATATGTTATATAATGTATAATTTTATATAAGATTATATATAATATAATATATAATGTGTATAATATAATACCTATATATAATGTATATAATTAATGTATATATAATGTAATATGTTATATAATGTTATATAATGTATAATCTTTGCAGACAATATACAGACCAGTGAGAGTGAGCAGGGTCTGCAGGCTAGCCAGCACTGAAGACCCTAAGAGAAGACCCAGGTCTGGTCCAGAGTGACCACGAGTCAGCAGGCAGACTAAACTCAGCACCAGTCTGTACCATAAGTAGTTAGCATTAAACCACTGCTTGATAATCTACACATTAATAATCTACATATCAATCAGTCTGTACCACAAGTAGTTAGCATTAAACCACTGCTTGATAATCTACACGTCAATAATCTACACATTAATAATCTACATATTAATCAGTCTGTACCACAAGTATAGGATTAGACCACTGCTTGATAATCTACTTATTAATAGTCAATATGTTATTAGTCTACATATCAATAGTCTACATTTTAATAAGCTACATAATAATAATCTAAATAATAATAATCTACATATTAGTAATCTACATATTAGTAATCTACATATTAGTAATCCAGATATAAATGGCCTACAGATAAATAATCTACATATTAATAACCGGTTTGATTGAAGACCAGAGCGTACTTTTTATTAACAATTTTCTTATTGTTTTTTTCGATGAGCCGAACGAAATTTCTTGCAGGTGTTTGGAGATCAAAAAGCAGATTGCCAAATGACATTTTACTGGAATGCGACGTTTCGAATATATCAATATTCATTATCAAGCAAGTGAACAGTTATTACAACGCTAAAATTGAAATTTGGACATGACATAAGTTCATACAGAAAGTATTGTAGATACGGTTCAAAATCGAAAATCAAATTAATCCGAGAATAATTTCAGCGTCCTGACGAATCCCGCGGTTTGCAAATTGATAGCAGGAGACTCGTCCTTAATGATGAGAGCCTCCGCT